TGCGGGGGAGAGTGGGACCTGACCAGGACAAGGGGGGCGCGGGACCTGCCCAGGACAAGGGGGACGCGGGGGAGAGCGGGACCTGACCAGGACAAGGGGGGTGCGGGACCTGCCTGGACAAGGGGGGTGCGGGGGAGAGCGGGGCTTGACCAGGACAAGGGGGGCGCGGGGGTGGCGCACACTTTTCCCCAGTGAGAAGGAGACTGCATGAGACGTGATCCTCCACACTGCACATGAAGATACGTCTCACAGGTAGCGTCTGAATGGACTTATTTCTGTGATCTTGTCCACCTCACAGCGTCTGATGACTTTAAGGGGACCCTGGTCTACCTGCATGTGTCGGCTGGAGACATAGACGCCCCACAACAGCGCAGCCACACCCACCTCGGGCACCAACGTCACAGCAAGCAGTTACAGAGGAGGGGGGACCAAGACCAGCACGGGCTGGCTGACCGCTTCCTGGCTGGAACCTCTGGCCGCCTCTCTGTGGGGCTCTGGTCCACACCGATCTCATGTGGGCCGAGGGCTCGGCCCAGCGAACACAGGCGGCCGTCCACACCTGAGCTCATGGCTGGGGACCAGGGCGTGGCGCCCCCAGGAGGGAGATGGTCTGGAGCAGGGAGGGCTGCTGTGGAGGGCAGGCCCCAGACACCACACGGGACACAGGAGCTCCGGGTCTACATCGGCAGTTTATTTATTGTAAGGAGCATGTACTGACAGCCAGCCACCATCAGGCACTGAGCAACCAGGGGTTTGGCCTGCAGGGGCCTCGGTCTCTGTAAAGCGGCAGTCGGTGACGTGGGAACGGATGGCCATCCCTGGGACCAGGCCAGTGGCTGAAGCCACAGCAGGGCTGTTGGTAAGTGTCTAGGAAGGCAGGGATGGACGAGGTTGGAGGGAAGTCAGGACCAGACAGGCCTGCATCCAGGATGACATGCAGTGTGGAGGCCAGGTACCAGGCAGAAGGCGGGCGCGGCTGCAGGGCTGGGTGTGGCCACACAGGGCACTGGGCCTCTGCTGCCGGTCTGTGGGGGCAGACCCTGCACCAGGCTGACACCCAGCACCAAGCAAGCCTGGGCGGTGCTGCAGTGTTCAGCAAACAGGAAAGGAGTGGATTTTCATGCCATTTTCTACGTTGCTTTAGTAGCTGTGCTGCCCAAATGAGCACTCTATATTGCTTTAGGACATGATTTTTCTTTATAAAACCTAGGTCTTCTTTACAATGATCAGGTTTCTGTCAACCATGCTGCAAGTTTAATCAGGACTTTCAGAAAAGGATTCAGTGTTTTCTTTTGTATGAAGTATTGTACATTGTCCCAAGGAAGGGATTAAACCCCGGAGCGGGGAGAGCTGAAGGACGCAGTGTGGCAGCTGGCCGGGCCGGCCCCGGCCGTCCGCGGAGCTCAGGTTCACAGACCGACACCCACACGGTGGTAGGGTCACTCGACAAAACCCGAAAGGCTTCTCTGACTGGCCTGAGGAGACAGTGACCCGGGGCCTCACAGTGGCTTCACGTCCCGAGATGCTCTCCTCAGTGAGCCTACTGCAAAGGTTTCAGAGCTCTCCTCAGTGAGCCTACTGCAAAGGTTTCAGAGACACTGAAACCCTCAAAGCATGTTTTACTAAGATGCCCGGGGGGCTGCTTCCCTTTGAAATCACACGAATCTCGTCCATTTTCAGACAAAGAAACCACAATGCAAAACCTTTGTGGACAAGGCTGAGCTGACCCATAACACAGGAATCCCACAACCGCCCACCTGTGCCTGTGAGGCTCGGGATGCCTGGACCCTCTTTTCTACTATCTGATGCAGTGAGCAAACACCAAAAATGGCTTTTTCTTGGGGAAAAAAAGGTCTTTAAAAGTTTAAAAGGTTTTGAATGAAAAGGAGCCCTTCCCCAAGTATGTGAAAGGGTGGTCAGACTAAGCAGTAGCACTTCCACCCCCACGACATCTCCCAGGGACAGAGCGTGCACAGCAGCGGCACTGGCAAACCGGCGCCCGGTGTCCCTGCCCCCCCCGCCCCCCGCCACGGCAGGCTCTGGCCTCCAGGCTGAACAGCCAAGGTTTATTCCTAAAGCCACCTACAAAACATCTGTTAGCATTTTGCTTTCGCCCTTAAAGCTCCATAGATGTAAGCACACACCACACTGCCTCAGCTTCTGAGAGGAGAGCCGCAGGGCTGCTGCATGTTCACAAGGTGCACGAGAGCCAGCGAAACCGCAAGTCCCAACACGCATCAGTAGTAAAGGAAACACAACCTGGGCTTCTGTGTGAGAGGTGGCGACTGTCTGCCCCGGGAGACCACACAACGTAAGCGTACGGTACGGCCACAGTGCATTAAAGGGAATCATCTCCAGGCTTCTGTGGCTTTTAGAAAAAGCACCCCCTCTGCTCGTTTTCAGCATTTAAGGTTAGAAAGACAGCGTTACCATTAGCAGGCAGGTAGGTAAAATGCTGGTACTGGCTTCGCTTCCTCTTCCCATTGCAGACATAGAAGCTGACCTGGACAGGGCTGGTTATCCTCTGGTTCCGGAAAGGCGGTATCTCAACCACCAGGGAATTCTGGTGAGAAACAGGAAGGGAAGCAGACAGTTAGCACCTCACTCACCAGGAGCACTGGCTCTAAGGAACCTGAGCTGCGCATGCTGCCTGGCACGGGCCGAGCACCAGGAGCCTCACACGGGCGCGGCGGCCTCACCACCGGTGCCCACGTGCCCAGCAAGCTGTGGCCTGGTGTGGGTCACAGGGAAGGGGCGTCCTGGGCGGCTTGCTTGTTTAGACGCAGGGGGGCCGTCATGACAGAGCCGGGCCTGGGGCAGAGCCGGGCCTGGGGCAGAGCCGGGCCTGGGGCAGAGCCGGGCCTGCGGCAGAGCCTGGCCTGGGGCAGAGCCGGGCCTGGGGCAGAGCCGGGCCTGGGGCAGAGCCGGGCCTGGGGCAGAGCCAGGCCTGCGGCAGAAGCCTGGGGCAACAGTGAGTGTCTGACTCGGAGCTAAGGCTTCCTCACTCCCCAAGCCGGGGCTACAGGAGGTGCCCAGGCCTGTGCCTGCCCCAGCACCCGGGCTCAGCGATGATCTGAAGGGAAAGGCCGCCGAGGCAGAGGTGGGGCGCCTGCCTCTGGGGAGGGGAGCTGACAAGGGCCGCGATGCCCCGTCTGATCCCAAACTCGCTCACACCAGGGAAGACGAGGCGTGTCTAGGGGACAGGCAGGGGGGACGCAGGGGCTCACGGGGTGGTTCTTTCCTTTCCTTTCAGCCACGAGTACTTGGGACCCAGTGGGAAAACCAGGACTGGGGAGGGGATCCCAGAGCAGGGCCAGTCTGTGGACAGCTGCACCTGATTTCTGTGCCAGATTTCAAGTCTAGCGTTTCTTCATTTTAATCATGTGATTTCCGTTTAGTAATCAAAGAAAGTGTGTAAGAAGAATCCATTGTATCATTTCTTTTGTTAAAGTCATTACTGGCAGGTTATTACAATTGTAGCAACATTTACTGACTCCTCAAAGAATTTCAGGCCAAACTCCCTGCATTTGCCGATGAAGACGTATGCCCAGATTCCACCCCTGGACCACTCCCTCCGCTCAGAGTTTGTTTGTTGTTTTCATTAACTGCCCTACAGCAGAGTCAGGTATCTGCCAGCACGCTGACCCCGGGGGAGGAGCTGCTCAGGGGGTCTGCTTGCCAGTGGCCCCCACCACAGCCTCCCGGGGAGAGACTCCACAGACAACAACGAGAGGACACAGAGAGGACAGGTGCACCGCTCAGGCTGAGGCCCGGTGAGAGGGAAGGGCCTGGACAAACCCCCGCAGGGCAGGCTCCTCCCCAGGGCCAGACACCCCAGCACACCACTGAGGTACTGTCCTGTGGCTGGCATAGACCAGGGCGCTCCAATTCTCAAAACAGATGAGCCTCAAATGTGAACACTGCCTCTGTGGCAGCTCCACACTCGAACATGGACAAGGACGCAGGGAAGAGGCAAGAGCAGGGCAGTGAGGGGACAGGAGGACCAGGCTGACGGGCATTGGCTGCAGCTGGCCACAGCACAACAGGAGCGGCTGTGCGTGCGGGTCCGGGGCTGGAGCTCAGGGGCCGGCTCCATCCTGGGACTCTGCTCAAGGCTAGCATTCTACCACTTGAGCCACGGCTCCACTTCTGGCTTTCTGATGGTTAACTGGAGATGAGGGTCTCATGGATTGTCCTGCCTGGGTTGGGTATGAGCCAGGATCCTCAGATCTTACTCTGCTGAATTAGGAGGATTACAGGCATGAGCCACTGGTGCCCATCACAGACCATGTGCTTAATTACATACAGTGGATACCAAGTATATACACAGACCAAGCCTATTTGTCTAAAAAATATCTAAAAAATACCACACACATCTGTGGATGAGTGTGTTGCATGAATGTATATATGGTGTTGTACACATGTGCATATTATGAGTATATGTGTGGTATGCATGCATGTGCATGCATGAGGAGTGTGGATGTACAGTTGTGTATGTGTGTCTGCATGCATGTGTGCCAGTGCCTGAGTGTGGGTGTGTGCATGTGTAAGTATGTAGGTGTGTGTGTATGTGTGTCTCTGGGTGTGCATTGTGTACCATATTCACATCCCTGCTCCCCAGACCTGGGAATTCTCAAGAAGGAATGCTCGAATCAGAGCTAAGGCTCCCCTGAGCATGAGCACTATGAGCACTGGGCAAGAGGCACCCAGAAGGTCAGCGTCTGCCCAGCCAAGAGGACTCGGTCCATCCTAGCTCAGAAAGGCCTCCGGCGACTGGCTTAGGAAGGCCGCTGGTGACTAGATACTACCTGGAAGAGGGGTGTGGGTTCCAGAGAAAAAGATGTATCCTTCTGCCGGAGCTCTGCCTGGGCAGAGGGGGGGCCTGGGTCTGTGTTCGCGTGACACCCGCGGGGGCCTGGGTCTGTGTGCGCCTGACACCCGCGGGGGCCTGGGTCTGTGTGCGCCTGACACCCGCGGGGGCCTGGGTCTGTG